CGCAAAGCCGCTTCAGACCACGCCTCACTCCCTCAGTCAACGCACGCGCACACACTGTGCATCGCACGGAACAAACCACGCACGTCAAACAACGCCCGCAGCCATACGGCAACAATGAGCCCACAACGCCGAAGCACTGTCGCACACTGCGCCACACCGCACGCTTGCACACTACACTACTCAATCAATAGCTCTAGCAATGCTTAACCGCTTGCTGTCAACTCACAACGCAACACACCGCGCAACGTAACGGAACAGCCACCAAAAGGCAAACTAAAGCCCACGCAGCAACACCGAAACGCTCCAAACGCCTCTGGCAAACGACCCGCGACCAGCAGCAGGCTGCAAAACACCCAAACCGCCACAACCGCAAATCAAACGCCATCAACCGAGCAAGCTCAACGTACACGCCAAAACCCAAAGGCAAACCCTCAAGTCGCCCTCAACGCCTCCGACAACACACGCAAACGCTCACTCAAAACCGTCTAACGCGCTCAAACGCTCTCTCAACGACTTCACACCGCAACACGCCAATCCGTCACTCACGCACCACCCATACCCCATCCAATACCCCACCCGCAAACACGCAACGCTAACGCGCCATGCTCATACCCACACTACCAACACTCAACACACCCAAAACACAACTCTAACGCATCATACACATTCTAACACACATCCAACAACTCATCCTCACTGCTCAACGCAAACCACACGCACTAACTCTCACACTCCCATCACTAACGCACTCCTCACACCGCTCATCCAACCAACACAATAACTCACACAATAAAACACTAACACACTAACACGCTCAACCAACACACCAAATACTCATACAACACACACACACACCCAAAACCTACCTACACACCCTTACAAACACACACCCACGCACACCCTGACAAACACGCACACCACCGCCGTCCTAAACAAACACGCACACACGCACACCCTTACAACCACGCGCATCCCACGCCGCACAAAACCACTCGAACTCTATCAAACCCTACTCTCACTCAATCCATTACCTAATGCACATCCGCCTCTCAACTCACACATCCAAGCGCTATACCCTACCATTCACTAAAATATACGCGCCCTCTATAACTCACAAGTCTAACCCTTCACCTCACGCGCTGAAACAAGCCTCTACAACAAACTTCAGGCGCTCACTCACAATACCCAACCGCTACACTTCGCGCATCAACAATTCACAACCCTACCCACCACATACCAAACGCTCAAGTACATAACAAACCAAAACACATACCACTCAAACATTCAAATGCTTACCCAATCATTCTACCTCACTACTGCTCCCACCTATGCGCCGCCTCCGCCACTCCGTCACGACGGCACAAAGCACATGAACCACCACCAAATTCGCCTCAAGCCTTACTCGCACCCAACCAAACAAATAATACACCCTCATCAAGCCCCTACTCACCTTATAAGCCAAATTCACACCGCTGACACAGCATACAGCTCGCACATCAAAATGCCACGCTGTACGCCACCACACACTGCACGCCGGGGCAACCCTCATCGTACATACGTCTTTCAAGGTTCGCTTTGCGGGTTTATACATTACATATTACACCAAAATATCATATCTCTAACTGCATTAAAATCTAGTTCGACCACCTGTGTGTCGAAACCTCTACACCGAGACCTCGACGCCGACACGGCAAGGTTCCTCCAGGGTCCAGACACCCACAAATACCTGGGTAGCACGGAAACGCGGCACCAGTAAACTAAAAACGCTTATATTACAGCAGTAAAAACAAAATCCACAAGCGACTGGTCGTACTGGTGCCGACGAATCGCACGGGCAAAAACATTTTCCTCGGCATCAGCCAGTACGCCTTGACAGTACCCAACCACTACGTAGCAGTGATACCGCTGGAACCCTGCCAATTTGCCAGGCTCGACAGGATGGTGCGCACACAGCTATACGTGAAAGGGGCTCACAAACACTGCGACAACATAAGCCGCCGCTGCTTACCACACACCCGGACACCATCGTGGCTGACACGCAAGAAACGCATCATCATAGTTGAGGTCGGGATCACCTCCCAGCCTAAAGTGACCTCGGCAAGCAGATGAAATTCCAGACGTTCGGCAATCACGACACTTATGTAGTCATCATACCCTGGGTCATGACATACAACTTCGTGTTGAGGGAGCTGGGAGTGGCTGCTGTGGATATCACGTGAGATACATGGTACCAATCTTATAACCAAAGTGATACAAAAGTAAGTTAGTAACGCGATTAACGCTATTTTGCGTCCTTCAGAAGCGAGACCTTATTACACGTAGAATACGTGTACCTTTCCATTCTCTCCTAATCCGCTTCTGCACAGCGTTAAATGGTTAATCATTTTAGTCATTACGCCTCTTAGTGCTGCGATAGTTTAAATCCCAGTGGCTACCGGCGCAGGCATTCTTGTTGGACCTAACGAATACCGCATTCATGTTAGTGCGAGGCCTTGCCGTTCTGCCTGTTTGCGCATATTCTTGTCGGAAGGATGGACATTGCAACCAAGAAGTACGTTCAAAAGTATTTTCATAAATGATTGCAAACAAAAACTAGCGTAGCAATTCAAGTCGCCTAGACCCGTGATACCGGGAACCATAACATCTAGAGCC